CATTTGCCTGATTTTACTCCACAAAAACATTAGCTTCTACTATTTTTGGGCCTTTAGAAGGACTATTAGGCCCATTTTGTGAGCAACATTCTTTTTTTTTTTCCGACAAAACAATTTTTATTAAATTCAAATCGGAATTACAAAAAGGCATTATACATAACTTTCTTTTATTTCCTCAAATATGCCTTCAAAGAATTTAATAAAAATATAAATAAATCCAAGTAAATGCATTTCAATTTTTAAATTTTTAAAAAAATACGTGACAAAAAATTAATAACAATAGCAATGTTTTTAAAATCAAACTGAAAAAAAAAGTCGGACCAACAATCAAACCAAGAAAATATTTGAGTTATGGATCAATATGGTCTCACATGATTTGATGATGTTTTGAAAATACTAGCATATTTGGTTTTATATTAATTTTCTATCAATGTTCACGAATATATGAATATCATGCAAACTACTTTAATAATTATAATGTCTTGAATAAATCATAAGTGTATTAATAATTCTAAAATTTTATATTTAATAGTCAGTTTAATGAAGTTCAATTGGTTTGCGGATTTCTGTCTTTTTTTTTTCTGGCTCAATCCGGTTTTATAACTGATCTAATTATTTTTGGGTTTTAGTGTTAATCCAATCCGGATATGTATCCGATTCACGATTCAACTTGGTTCAATTGCCGCTCCAATCCAATTTTAAAAACACTGAATAATGCCATGACCTTAACAAATTAAATCCCATAGACATGAAGAAATTTGTATATTTTTGTATACCAATTGCCAAAAAACCAATGATCGTATATAGTAACTCGAATCCCGGATTAGTCCCCTAGACTTGTAGAACTTTGGATATGGCGGATCATATCGATGATTTGATGGAAGAGAAATTCAAAAATCTCGGTTTGCTTGAGCTGGTAACTGAGCGGTTCTTGTTCCGAGAAATGACTGATCCATGTATGCTTTGTTTCCCGCAGAAGTTTGATTCTATAATGGCATATGTTATCTATTGGAAGAATAAAATCTTGCTTTTGTTATATTATCCACAATTTATTGTTTCTATGGAAGGAATTGGATTTGTAGTGTCATTATGTATCATCATTCATCTTTGTCTGATTTATGCAGAGTGTGGTTGAGCTCACATCAAACTGGTTAAATGAGAACAAATGCAAAGGCACAAGAAAACATTTTAAGTACTTGTCGTTGCTGAACCATCTTAGATTCTATACACAGCTAGAGAAGATTGTTTTCCTCTCTTTCTGACTCCGTTTGATTTACACAGAACGTTAGCCGAGCTTTTGAAAACTTGGCTTGAAGCTTATCACTGTTATAACAAATGCCACAACTTGTCAAACCTAGTCATTATCTTAGTAAAGTTTGAACCACAAGCATGTGATGAACGTTTTCAACCTCATCGCTTGGAGGAAAACAAACGCGATTTCTCGGTATCAACACTAGCAAGATAGGAACTTTCAGTATAAACTTTCCACCATCACAAGTTTAGGCACTCCAGCTGATCAAACAAGCAAACGAATCAACGGATTAAGAATAGAACCAAACGTTCAAATTTTCATATTCAAACCAATTCAAGACCACTCAAAGTTTTGCATCGGATTCACTATAAGAGTGTCAACTCGAATCAAAAAAAAAAAGTAAAGATGAATACTTTGTCAATGGCAATCAATCACTTAGCAAAGGCTTCACTAACCATTTTCTTGCTCTGCCAATTCCCAGTGAAATGCCAGTAGTCTGCAATTTCAGATCACATAACAAAATAAGAAAAAATTCTACTTTTGCAATCCAATAGTACCAAAAGTTTCAATTTTTCCAAGAATTAGTAGCAATTTCGAACAAACCAGAGAACCTGAGGCAATCGTAATCGATCCCGATACGTGTCCTGTCCACTTGTTCTGGGGTTCTCTCAGTTTTGAACTTTTGTGGAAGAGAAAATGGAATTAAGAATACGCGGCGTTTCACTGCAGCTACTAGACTTGCGTGCCATTTAGGGAGATAAACATGTATGTTGTTTGTAGTGCCGCGAAGAGAAAAGTGTGTCGTTTCAATAAAAAAAGAATAGCGAAAGGATTTTTCCGCTGCCGGGATTCGAACCCGGGGGTCGTTGTCGTGAAGACAAATTTTTGCCAGAAATCATTGATTATAAATTCAATGCGCTACAGCGGATTTTTTGTTTAATCAAGGATTGTAATTAAATATATTCAAAGGTTTTGCTATAGATAGGGCACATAACAAACGCTACGTTTCAATGCAGCTAGAAGAGACTTGTGTGCCGTTTAGAGAAGAAAACATGTATGTTGTTTGTAGTTTCGAAGAGAACTCAACTA